ACAATATTTTTTTTAAGTAGGCTCTATGACCAACATGTGTCTTGAACTAATGACCCCGAGATCTAGAGTTACATAATCTACCAACTGAGCCTGCCAGGTGCCCCAAATGATCTTAATGAGATATATATAGATACATAGATATATAGAGAAATATATATAAATTTATATATATATATATATTTGGATCTCTTTAGGCAAGTGCAACAAAAGCAAAACTAAACAATTGGAACCACCTGAAACTAAAAAGCTTTTGTACAGTGAAAGAAACCATCTACAAAAGGCAACCTGGTAGAGGGGAGAAGATATTTGCAAATGATCTATTTCATAGGGGGTTAGTATCTAAAACATAAAGAACTGCTACAACTCAACACCAAAAAAATAAGCAATCCAATTTAAAAATGGATGGAGGACTGAATAGACATTTTCCCAAAGAAGACATACAGATGGCCAACAGACATAGAAGATGCTCAACATCACTAATGATCAGGTAAGTGCAAATCCAAACCATGAGATGTCACCTCACACCTGTCAGAATGGCCAGAATCAAAAAGACAAGACATAACAAGTGTTGGTGAGGATGTGGAGAAAAAGAAACACTTAATGCACTGTTGGTAGAAATGTAAATTAGTACAGCCACTATGAAAAATGGTATGGAGGTTCCTCAAAAGATTAAAAACAGAAATACTGTGTGAGCCAGGAATTCTACATCTGGATATTTATCTGAAGAAAATGAAAATGCTAATTAAAAAAGATATGTGCACCCTCATATTCATTGCAGCATTGTTTACAGTAGCCAAAATATGAAAACAATGTAAGTTTCCATCAATAGAGGAATGGCTAAGGAAGATTCCGTAATATATATTATATAATGGAATATTACTCAGCCATAAAAAGAAGGAAATCTTGTCATTTTCATGACATGGATGGACCTAGAGGGTATGACATTAAGTAAAATAAGTCAGAGAAAGACAGTACTGTAAGTGAAAACTTACATGTAGAATCTAAAAAATAAACAAATGAATAAACACGACAAAACAGAAACAGACTCATAAATACAGGGAACAAACTGAAGATTGCCCGAGAGGAGGTAGGTGGGGGGAATGGGTAAAATAGGTGAAGGGGATTCAGAGGTACACACTCCCAGTTATAAAATAAATAAGCCAAGGGGAGGTAGGGGCACCTGGGTGGCTCAGCAGATTAAGCCTCTGCTTTCGGCTCAGGTCATGATCTCAGGGTCCTGGGATCGAGTCCTGCATCAGGCTCTCTGCTCAGCAGGGAGCCTGCTTCCCCCTCTCTCTCTGCCTGCCTCTCTGCCTACTTATGATCTCTCTCTGTCAAATAAACAAATAAAATCTTAAAAAAAATTAAAAAATAAAAATAAAAAAGCCAAGGGGATGTAGAGTATAGCACAGAGAATACAGTCAATAATAATGTAATAATTTTGTATGGTTACAGGTGGTAACTAAACTTACTCTGGCGGTGGTTTCATAATGTATATACATGTCAAATCATTATGCTGTACACCTGAAACCAATATAATATTATATGCCAATTATACTTTGTTTAAAACAAAAAACAGAACCCAATGAACAAAAAGACAAAACAAAAGACATCAACTTGAAAATTTAAGAAAGTCTAGAAACCCCAAAAAGGATAAACACAAAACAAAAAAACAAAATTAAAAAATTTTAAGAAACAAACAAATCTAGACTTACTACAGTATAAGTGCTGAGAGAAGAATCTTAAAAGCATTCATAGGACAAATTCACGAACCACAACCAAACCTCAAGCAATAAACTTTGAAAACTGACAGTTAATCAACTAGTCAATCCATGACTATACATTCCTGGTGTGGTGGGGCAGGATTCAAAAATCTCCCCCAACTCCCATAAGCAATATAGCTTTCTGTTGGAAAAACTGTGAAAGTTGAAAAAAAAATTTAAAAATGTTACTAAAGAGATGGAACTATGGTAAGGCATTAGCAGGCAAAAGTAAAGTTAAAAGGAGAAACCAGAGACAGAAGCAGGCACAGAGCCACTTTTGACTTAATGGAATGCTGATTCAAGGGAATCAGAACCTCAGGTTTGACAACTTTAAGGGGTGAGGGGGACAGAAGTGAAGTCTGGAGTCCACACAAGGTGGAGGGTCCAGCGGGAGTCCCGGCCACCCCACCACATCTTCCCAGTGAGAATGGAGTGCAGCGGGCAGCTCTGGAAAGACGTGGCTTCCCCCAGGTGCTCTCAGACCCGGACCTGTGTCAAGGAGTTCCTGGAGGCACCTGAATGTGGCAAACCAAAACTCTTTCCAAAGTCGTACCTTCGTTGCAGTCCTTGATTTTACCTAAAAATAATTTCCCCAATACAGCGCTAGTACACAAAGACACTGAGCAAAAAAACCTTTGTGAACAGAACATTATGTTTCCCTTTTCTTTGTGGGAAGGGGAAAATGGTAACTTTTTAGTGGAGAAGCCTGGCAAATACCACCTCCATTCAATGATGAAGGTCAATTTCTCTGGGGATAAGTCAGGTTGGCATATATCCCCTGATGTGATGAGGAGGGCACTTCACTTCCTTGGTACACTCTCAGAAAACCCATCAGCCAGTCTAATCCTGAGAAAATCATCCAGATGAATGCAAATTAAAAAGCAGTCTACAGAATGCCTGACCAGTACTCTTCAAACTGTCAAAGTCGTGAAAGAAAAGGAGAGACTGAGAAACTGTCACACACCAGAAGTGAGTGGAGTCCTGGATTGCATCGTGGAACAGTGTATTAATGTGTATTAATGGAAAAGCTGATGAAACTGAAAAAAAAAAAAAAAAGAAAAAGTCCAGAGTTTAATTCACAGTGATGTTACCAATACTGGTTTTTCAGTTTTGAAAAATGTGCCACAGTCATGTCAGAGGGATAATGTCACAGGAAATGAATCTGGGTATGCAGAATGTAAAAACTTTGTACTCTCTCTGCAACTTCTCTGTAAATGTAAAATTATTCTAAAATTAAAAGCTTGTTTTAAAAAAAAGTATGAGTGAGAAGCAGCAGAAACAACAGAAAACAGGGCCAGCTACAAACACCTCCCATGTTGAAAGTATTAGATACCAACCTAAAATTTCTTTAATCTGTTAGATCTTTTATAAAACCTTTTTATAAAAGAAATCTACAGCAAACATCATCCATAACGTGCAGTGATAAAAACTTTCCCTTTGGGATTAGGATCAAGATGGAATCATTGCCATCAGTACTGGGGATAGACTTGAATCCACCATCTTAAGAGCTCAGGAGCTGTGGCTGAACACCATGCACAGAATTCATCGTAACTTTTCCCCCTCACATGAATTATTTATAACAGAGGGTGCATCTAGCTTATGAAATCAATAGTATAAAAAGTCTACACTGTAAATTTTAAGCTTTAATAAGATCGAGTCAACATAAACAAAGTTCAAAGACAAGGAGAGTATATTTATAACTTTCAGAATATTTAGCAAATTCTCCTTTCTCGTTAAAGAAAAGACAATCATGTCAACTGAGTAACACTGGCCAATAAATGAACCAGCAACTTATGGAAGAGGCAAATGGCCAATAAACACTGTCCAGCCTCCCGTGGAATCAGGAAAATGCACAGTAAATCAGGATGCAACTTTTATCCACCACCTTTGCAAAGTTTGGGTGTGGGGAGAGGGTTTCTCTCATTTGATATTGGCTCAGCTACTTAGAAAGACAATCTGGCAGGATGTATAAACAAGTAAATATTAGTAACCTTTGCCTCCACGATTCCACTTTTTCGGTTGTTGACATGAGACAAATACTTGTAAATGTGCAAAAATATAAGGAAATAGATGATTCTTATCATAGCTTGTTGGTAAAGTGAACAATTGAATATGACCTAAATGTCCATCAGTGGGGGCTGTGGTGGGGGGGGATGGTTTAAGACTTAGGATATATCGATTCTATGGAACAGCATGTAGCTCTTAAAAAGAATGGAGTGTATCTATACGAAGGTGATCGCTAGGATTTTCACTCTTAAAATAAGAGAAAATGAAAAATGAAAAATGGGATATGTAATATAATCCCATTTATTGAAAAGACAAGGCACAATGTGCATATTTAGGCATAGAAGCTATAAATAGAAATGCACAGAAAAAGATCTGAAAGGCTCTTCAGGAAACACTTAATAGGACCCGACTGGAAGTTGCAGTGGGGTAGGTGGGAAACGGGGCTCTTGCCTTTGACATACTTCCATTTTGTTTAAAATTTTATGAACAAGAATGTATGATGCATTTCTTTTGTAGTAAATAATAAATTGATTAAAATATTAAGTAATATTATTTCTGACCCATTACTAGAGAAAAAGGATTTTTGCCCACTCCACACCCTCCACTTCTTTTTTGGTCAGAGACACAATCCATTCCAGAACAGAAAATCATAGTCAAGATAAAACCCCTGAGCCTGCACTTCTCTTGGGTGGTCTGGAGCCTTTCTCCTCCTTTTACTTTCTTTGGTCAAGAGGACGAGGACCCAACCAGAGAGGAGCAGGGCCCGAAGGAGGCCTGTCCGAAGGAGAGGTGTGAGCCCACAGCACCCCATGTTTTAGCGTAAGTCAGGTGTTGACTCTGATCTGCATATCTTCTCAACAACCTTATTTGCAGTGAGTCACGAAGGAAGAGGAGCCCCGAGGGAAAGGAGAAAGTTCAGAGGTCACAAGGAGACAGCAAATCCCTGTCACAAGCCTCATAAAGGACCGGGACTTCAGACAGGCCTCCAGCTGAGCTGGGTGACCAAAAAAAAAAGAAAGAAAGTCGTATGTGTGGTGGAAAGCTGGATGAACACCTCATTTCCTCGTTACCCCTTCCTGCCCTTAGTATATTACAAGCCAGCATTCTTATAAACCGGGTCTCAAGTAGAGATTTAGTTTAGTGTCTCAACTTCAGGGTCTTTAGAAAGACAGGGAAGCAGTCCATGGCCAGAGAGAGACAGAGGTGAGAGGGAAGGAGATCGAGACTGACCTGGTGCTGAAGCCACTGCCTCCATCGGCCATCTTCCCCCTCTGGCCCACCTGGACTCCGCCTGGGCCTCAAGTGTGGCCTCTGAACCCTCCGTCCCGTGGCCTGGTTCAGGGTGGCTGCCTGAGCCCAGAGCAGGAAGTTTGTGAATTGCCTCACACCCAGAGAGCTCCGCCCAAATGGGGAAAAGAGAAGTGAAAGTATCTCTGAGTTGCCGGGCATTGTTTCCCTCCTGAAGCTCCATGATGGGTTTTTAGGCCCCAAGACACAGAACAACAGGAATGGAGGTGGAGGAGGGACAATCAGGGCCCCGAGGAGCAGAGCCAGGCCCCAGGGGGCCACTTGTTGGCACAAAGACACAGAAACATCTATGTGTCCTCCAGTGCTTCCTGACCTGTCTAAGATGGTTTCTGAGTATAATGGGGTGAGCACATCGGGGGGTGGGCGTGGGGGGGAACTCCTTATTTGCTGCTTCCCCTCACCGACATGGCTGGGGGGCGAAAGAGGGAAAGAGAAAGTTCACATCTTCTCCCTTCCTGTGGGAGAGCCTGGACCCAGCAAGATGCCAGTGTGGGAACCCAGGACTGGAGAGAGCCCAAATTCTCAGCATCCTAAACCAGGGCAAGTGTGTTTAGTGTCCCTGGAAATCCGCCAAAGGTAAGAGAGAAATCTGCAAGGCCACAGCCAAGGCGATGATGTTGGTTAACGTCTCAGGTGCCTGGGTTTAAAGTGTATTTCCCAAATGCAGCCCTGAGACACCTGAAAAGCAGTCAGTCACCAGGATGCCAAGCAGCATCGGCTTCCCTTGGATGGAGAGGGAGGTTGGAACGGACAGGACCTGGAAGCCCCGTGGGGAGGAGGACCCTCTGCCTCAGAGTCCCGTCTGTCCACGATGTCTCCTTCAGATGCGAATCATCATTCCACAAAGCCTGAGAAGTGACCCAGAAGACTTCATTACATTTGAAACCGCCGGGGAAAGGAGGTTTCTATCCTATTTCCATGGATATTCTGTCTTTCCCCCAAAGGAGCAAATGGCAGTCTGGCTGGGATTCCAGGTTGTTGACAAATACTCCTTTACCCATGGGTCAGGTGTCTATACCAGGAGCAGCACACACACCGGGATCTCTCTCCCACTTTCCCTCTCTCCCGCTCTCTCTCTCTCCCACTCTCCCTCCCTCCCTCCCTCACTTGCAGGGGTAGCAGGACTAGGAAGCTGAGGCAGTGTTGAGCACATCTGTCCTCTGCTTCTGGCCTCCATGGGACACAGATGACACCAGCCTTTTCTAGTGTCCCCTGTCTCTCTCCTTCTCTGTCCCTGAGCAGCAGACTGACCCAAGGCCACCACCATACTGGGTATTGGCATATATGTGCCAGCTTTTCCGTGGGTCTACATAGGGCACCTGGAATAGAGGCCAATGAATGGCCGGCAGGAGTGGGGACATCCACGGGTGGCTGCTGCTGTGAGGAACACTGACACCAGGCGCTGTCCTCAAAGTAGCCCAATGCTGGACCTGGAGGCCTGGAAGGTGGGAGAGGCATGCTGAGGAGGGACTATGGGGCAAAGGACCCACCAGGGGACAGGCTCTGTGAATGTCCCCAGGAGCAACTTCTGTTCAGACTTTCATAGCAAGGCTAAGTCTCCAATTCAGGAGACCCCTGTGGGGACCAGAGGTTTGTCCCTAGGAACTCAAAGGTGGGAAGGCTTGGTGGCAGCAGCCACAATGGCCACTAGGGAAAGGACATAACAGCCTTGGCACTTCTGTGGATGTGGAATCACAGGGAAACCCAGCACCTGGGATGTAAGTGGGAACACTCAGGCCCTGCTCCAATGTCCCTGAAAGGGACATCCATCAGTGGGACTCATCTGGACTCCCTAACCTTCCCTCCTTTCTGCAGAGACTCTGGTGGAAGGGGTGAGCCGGCTCCTTGCTGGGTCTCCCAGGGCTCATGGCTCCTGAAAAGGCTAGGTTTCTGTTGGCTTTTCCAAGGTCAAGTGCACAGGGACAGGACGTTGTGGGGGTTGTGGGAGGCTGGGGGTGTGTCTGATTGATTAGAGCAGCCTGAGGCTGTGTGGATAAGCTCAGGTTGGGGGTTCAGTTTGAAGGATCCCTTTTTGCTATATACTAAGCCCTGAGTCCCAATGTAGCTTTTATCAGGAAGAAAGCTGGTATTTTGAACCCCATCTATTCAGTTTTATACCGATCTGCCTGCTGGTGTGGAACTCAGGTGAGGGAAAGGGAAGCACTTCGGGGGGTAGGGGCAGCGTATGGGTACACATCTCTTTCCACGAGTTCTCATCTACCCGTGCCCCAGATGGGTAAAGAGGCTCGGAGTCCTACCCTCTTGCAATTGCATGGTCATAACCCAGTCATCCCGAACGGATTCTGTGGGTATTTGGCGGCGATATTTCTGTGTTGAGGGGCTGAGGTGGGGGCGGGGCCCTTTTCCCACTAAACCAAAATCTCAGGGACCCCGCAGTTGGTGGCGGAGGCACAGATTCCTGTTGCTGCCAAGTTTGTACAAGGCCAGAGGGATTGCTGGGGGTGAAGTGTGAAGGTTTCTACAGGGAAGAGAGTGACTCCTTGGAAAGGGGGCTGGGAAGAGGCATGTGGGGAGAAGAGGAAATGGTTAAGGGGCGTGGGTTGTGGGGAGTGACAGAGAACTCCCGGGCCCCTCGAGAAATACGTCTGGGCCACTTTCCGAAAGCCTGCACTCCCCTCTAGTGATCATACTAGGCATTGCACTCTTCTTAGACCTGACGTCCGTCGCCTGCTCCGCCTGCTCCGCCTGTTCCGAAAAACCGAAACCGGAAATTGTTCTTGTAACTTTTTAACCCCTCGAAATCAGTAGCAGGAGCGCCTTTATTTCTTTCTACATGAAGGTTAACAAATTTAAGGATTGGGTCCTGAGATGATTTTGAGATGCACACACGGACAAGCTTCTGGCCTGGACAGGGTCCTCCACACCTGCTGACCATCATCTGGAGGTGAAGGGGAGGGAGACTGCTTTACCAGCAGGAGCTCTGGCTAGAAATGGGTGTGGCTGGGGAGACCTTGGGCACTCCCAGGGCACCTGTGCCTGGGGCTGAGGAAGTCCCACGCAGAGGATGAGGTTGGCCTTCACAAACCAGCAGCTTGACAGTCCTGGGCCAGGGAAATCCCAACAAGAGTCTAACGGGCACCCTCCTACCCCCTAGGGCCAAGTACTGTGCTTTTTTCCCGGCCTGGGGCCTGTGTTTCTCACATGTACAAGTACTGTGCTGGTGAAATGGGCTGGCATCCTGGAGGATCCAGCACACCGGTACACAAGGAACATGTACGTCCGGCCAGGTCATCTAGTGGCCCCAGGAACACAGAGATATGCCCCTGAAGCTCTCCACCAGGCTCTGTGGGCCATCCCACTTCTCACCTTAGAGTGAAGTTTGTCAGCAGCAGGTATCCTCCCGGGTCTCCTGGTCCAATGGTTCATGGTCAAGACCACAACCAGCATAGTTGTAAGGATTTCTCAAGACAATGACGCTGAAGTTAAAACCTCACCACTCTCATTTGACTCTGGCTCATAAATTATCCTGGGGCATTAAGGGAATACAGGGAAAGTTCCCTAGAGGTCGGATGCCATTTCTGCAACTTCTCCCACCTTTTGAGAATGGCCAGTGGGCTCTGTCGTATAGGTGAAACCCTCCCCTCCATAGAGAAGGAAGACCCCTCTGCCTCTTCTGGGCATTCCATCTATAGTCTATGGCACCCCCTCCCATGAATAATTCAAGGGTGGAGGGGAAACTTCAGCCTCCTGAAGGTGAAGCCAGGGTGAGGGGCTCTCATGTGTCTAAGAGCCTGGATCCCAGGCCAAGATGTGAGGACAATAATGGCTTCCTTGAGCTGTGCCTCAAGAACCCAGCATCAGAAATTGTGTCCTCGCCCCCTAGGGAACTTCAGCAGGTCGGGCCTGGATTTACCATTTGCCATCAGATGAAGGTATCATGTAAGAATCCAGGGACTGTCTTGTATTTCCTGAATACACAAGAAGTAAAGGCATCAGCCAGCTCCTACAGGGCACTTCCACCACACACAGGGACACAGGATTTTGCAAAAACTTCAAAGAGTGGACATGTCCAAGGGCATGCTGAGAGCATCTGCCACGGGCTCTGTCTCTGTTCTCAGAGACCCTGGGAAGTGGTCACAGACACCAGACAAGCCAGAAGCTGGGGCCACATCGTTTTGTAGCTAAGGCTCATGCTCCTGAGATCTCAAGGCTGGGGTCCTGCATCTTCCTCTCCATCCAAACACAGGCAAGCATAGAAGGGCCCTCGGAGATGGTGGGATGGAGTGTGGTCCTCCCTGCCTCCTCAGCAGCTCTGGCAGAGCTCAGGGCCACCCCTCCCCTGAACACTCCCCACTCTTGTTTCCAGTGGAGATACAGGTGTGAATACTACTATGTTTGGTATGAATTAGTGTGGACTCTTTCTGTCCCACACATGGGACTCAGGGGAAACTTTGGAGGATGACCGGGGAAGAGAAAAGTCCTAGATTTGATGGACAGTAGGAATCAGTAGTTCCAGGTCAGATGAAAAATCTCAGACCTGTGGGTCTGAGCAGCAGGGCCCGCTGAAGTTATGATAAGAATCTGATTACTGTTTGGCACAACTCCTGTGTCCAGGCTGGGTCTAGATTTACTAAACCGGAAGCTATTCGGCACCTCTTGCTGGACTTGGAATGGTCACTCACAAGGCCCGGCTCAGACACCACCACCGCCCCAACAACACCCCCCCGCCCTCCGTCGCCTCCTCATCTTCAGCTCAGACTAGTTCAGCCAGCTTTCACTTGGTCCCAGGCCATCAGCCAGCAATGTGGGGAGGGCTTAGACACCGGGTGTTCCTCTCTATGACTTTCTCTTTTCTAGCATTTCCCCCTCGCTACCAAGAAAGCTTAGGGACTCTGGCCTTCTTCCCTGGCTTTGCTGACCAGAGGGAATGTGGGCTTTCTACCAAAGTTTTTGTCACTCCATGCAAGACTGGCCCAGCGACTCTGGGGCCAGGTGATAGTAAACAGTAAACATCTTACATTGGCTGTTTCCTCTTGAGTTCTGACTTCCCTCCAAAGTCGGCCTGCTTTGGTTTAC